TCTAATTGAGTCAATTGTTTTACTCAAAATGTCCACAGATCTACTCACTCCCTTCATCACACTCTTGATCTGGTTCTGTTCTGACATATGGTATAAGAACTGAATAATGCATCCTCACAATCCTGTTCTCTCTGACCATTTTTTAATAACCTTTGAGTTTACATTGGCCGATTTCATAGCTACTGAGAGTAAATTTCATTATAGTAGATGTTTATCAGAGTGCTGTTGCTAAATTTATAGAATCTCTTCCATCTTTATTTTCCTCTGTCTTACAGAATAATGTAGTAACAGTAACTTAGATGGTCTTGTTGATAATATTACAACTTTAACGCAAACCTCTCTTGATGAAATTGCTCCACTAAAAAAAKAAAGTTATCGATCGGAGGAAGCCGACTCCTTGGTTTAATTCAGAGTTACGTTCTTTAAAACAGGCGTCTAGAAAACTGGAGAGAAAATGGCGCTCCACTAACATAGAAGAATTTTATTTAACCTGGAGAGACAGCCTGCTAACGTAAGAAAGCCCTTCATAAAGCTAGAACTGTTTATTATTCATCTTTAATAGAAGATAATAAAAACACTTCCAAAAAACACCTCACTGTCCGTGAGGCTGACACTCTGTCTACTTTTAAGATTAGACTGAAGACTTTCCTTTTTGATAAATCCTATAGTTAGACTTAGGTTTCCTGAATTATTCTTCATTTCTGCTGCTATAGATTTAGACTGCTGGAGCACAAACTGAGCACATTTCCTCACTGTAATTGTTTCTATCAATAACACGTTTTGATGGGAGACTGTGATGAAGTGACTCAACACAATCTGCTGGCTTCTTCTTTAGATTGATCTTTTGTTCATGTACAGTGCCCTGAGACAACGTATGTTGTGACTTGGTGCTATATAAATAAACTGAATTGAATTGAATTGATTTGCTCTTTAATCACTCTTGTTTGGGCATATTTAGATAAAACAGCAGTGCAGTGTGATAATGCAGACATGGAGAACAAAACACATGCAGAAAAACTGAGTACCTGACAGCCTCGGCCACGTTGTTGGACGTGTGTCCTGACAGGGCGTCGTGGAGGTTCCTGATGAAGTAGTCTCTGTAGTCCTCAGGCAGAGCCATGAAGGTCCCTCCCATCACGATGAACTCCACCTTGTCCACACTGTGGCCCAGCTGCTTTAGCTGCATGTCACGTGCAAATTATTAGACACATTTACCAGGCTGTATTTAGGATTCCAGCTAAATGCTTAAATCAGAATCAGAATACTTTAATGATCCCCGAGGGAAATTACAGGTATTACAGCTGCAACCATTCAGATCACAAAAATGTGAAAATAAAAAAATAAGCACACTAGGATAAAATAAGTACAAGCACTCAGGATTACAAAATAAGCACACAATGAAATGAAAGACTTTTCTCTAAAAACATAAATTAGCAGTCCTTAAAAGTGCTTTTCACCTACCACCTGGCATGTCTAAGTTTTAAATGAAGACCTTTTGATCTCTGTGCTGAGTTTGTGTTGGGGAGGATTTTCTAGGACAAATTAGTTAGAGACATAAAAAGGAAAAAAGTTGTATAGGTCCTCTGGACGGGTTCTTCTTTAATGAAATGTTTCGTCTCTCCTCCAAGAGACTTCTTCAGTCTGAGAGTTTCAGGCAAAATTCAGGCTTTTAAGCCCTGCCTCCAKGTGACTGATACTCACATCACATGGCTATCGTTCACACCTAATTAACACCTATTGTTAACAGGGGGTGGAGTGATACTGGCAATGGCAGCGCTGTAGGAGGGGGACAACTGAAAACGGAGGCCTCCACCTCTGTTTAATGATGGACGGTCTTTCTTCACAAAAATGGCTTCTTTTACTCCTCTCAAACCAACGTTCCTCTCTATCAAGAATGAGAACATCCTCATCTCTGAAAGAGTGACCACTGGCCTGTAAATGAGTGAAAACTGCAGAGTTCTGGCCATTAGATGTAGCTCGTCTGTGTTGGGACATTCTTTTGAACAGTGGTTGCTTTGTTTCCCCGACGTATAACTGGTCGCAGTCCTCCTGGCACTTAACAGCATATACAACATTGCTCTGTTTGTACCGGGGCACCGGATCTTTGGGGTGAACCAGCCTTTGCCGTAATGTGTTTTGGGGTTTGAAAGCTACTGGGACATCATGTTTAGAAAATAAACGTCTCAGTTTCTCCGAAACACCCGCAACATATGGAATAACCACTGGTTTGGGTCTGGGTTTGGGGTCTTCATTTTCACCTGAAGGTTGCATGGAATCCTGTCTGTGTTTCCTGTCTGCTTTCAGGAAAGCCCAGTCAGGATAACCACACTGCTCCAGGGCCTGTCGTGTGTGTGATTTCTCTTTCTGCCTGGCTCCTGGGTTTGTAGGGACACTGTCTGCTCTGTGGTACAAAGTCCTGATCACTCCTAACTTGTGTTCCAGTGGGTGGTGGGAGTCAAAACGCAAATATTGGTCTGTGTGGGTGGGCTTACGATATACGCCAGTTTCCAACCGTCCTCCATCCGAAAGTTTCATTAAACTCCTCCTCCGTTTCATTAAAGAAGAACCCGTCCAGAGGACCTATACAATTTTTTTCCTTTTGATTTTTTACCTGGATTTCTGAGATGCATCAGGACATAGTTAGAGACATAGTTACAGCCACGTTGGTCAAACCTTGTAAATGATTTTATGCCATATTGTGAGATCTCATGAGACACATTAGTTCTTAGAATACATCATATAAATGACACTAAGTTAATAACACACCAAATTTCAGCTCAACATCTAGGGCTGGGCCATATCATATCATTCACGATAATACTGGTAAAAAAAAACTTGCCTGGGAAAATAAAKTATATCATGATATGCTAATTTCATGACCAACGTCATTTTGCTCATGTCAGGGAAAACTCTTGTTTTCTGTTGCGGTCTCGGCCACCCAGTCTGATACAGGTTTAAATAGACGCAGCTTTCAGCAAATCAAACGAACCCCACAGCTTTATCCAATCAGAACAGAGCAGGGCGGGTCTTTGTGATGTCAGTGAAGCAGTGATAAACACCGGTCAGCCTGCAGCTCCTGTCCTGAGTGAACAAACCCCGTCCTCCACACTTCACTCCCGAGCTACCAGAGACGTTGGTATCTAAAATCGAACAAACTATAAGTTTATGTGTTCAGAGTGTCGTTATCTAACAGATATGTCCAACTTTGCTCGTGAGACCAAACTCCTCTCTTCAACAGCGCTGTTACAGGAGCGTGTCGTGGCTCACACAGGCTGAGTTGTTCTGTGAGAGCCACTGTTTCAGCTCTTCCAAAATATTAACTCAGATGAACACTTTGCCCCAGTGTAGAAAAGATGAGTCTCTGCTTAGCGTTAGCCCCCCACCCTGCATAAAAACGCTATGTTCTTTACATAAATATCTACAAATTTCACTCTTCATAATAKATCTTGCTTTTATTTAGAACYATACTGTGACTGAACTGCTCTGTGATTCAATAAATGATCAAATACGAAGAATAAAAAGTTTTAAATAATTACATGAGCTCTCTAAATCAGGGTTTCTCAAACTTTTTGTGCCCAAAGACCCCTTACAGTGGTGAAAATATTCCAGGAAGCCCCTCATAAGCCTCATGCTGATTTAAAACTAATTTACTGCTATTTTGAACTCTAAATTCCATGAGAATAACTATTAATTGGCTGGTTGAGCGTGTTTGTTTTACTGGTGCGTTGTTTTCCTTCTGCGTTAATGTAGTTTTTTAAAACAACAAACAAAATTAACAGTTTATCATTTTTTTGTGGACCCCCAATTCCAGTTCGCGGACCCCTGGGGCTCCTAGGACCATAGTTTGAGAACCTCTGCTCTAAATATTGTAATTTTGAAAGAAATTGTTATTTTAATAGAGAAATCAGTCAGTCTAACAAATAAAAAATGTAGTTATTTTGTGAAGTACAAAAGACACATTTGGTATATTTTTTAAATATAAAATTATAGTACATACATACATACATGTGTTTGCACTGAAAAGTTATGAAGATGGTTAAATATTTATATGAATATATCTGACTCAAGTCTTGACAAAAGTGTTTTCTATTAAATATATTAAAAAAAACTAAAATGACAAATATAAACTACAGAAAAGCTGTTCAAAATCAAACTCTCCTTACAAATCCCTTTGGTCCAAATGGTTCAGGTTCAAATGTTTGTATAATGCTTCATTAGAGAATACTAAACTGTGTACTTTGACTAAGAACATGGACACAGTGTATAGTGTTATGACTATATTATACTGTGTACTTGTGTGTGGGGGGTGGTAAGAGTTATCGTGCATTTATTGTTATCAAGGTAAACTGGTCAATATATTGTGATATTGATTTTAGGACATATCGCCCAGCCCTATCAACATCTGTAAAATTGACAGCCATCTTTGCATTGGCTAATGTCAAATTAATCCCCATAAGGAAAAGTGTATCCTCACAAGGTTGTGCGTAATGGGAAAATGGTCAAAAATCATCCCCAAAAGGTAACAAGAACACACACACGTTTGTTCTTGAACCATGTGGGGACCTTCCATTGACTTCCCTTCATGTTTTTTAGACTTTAGACTAACCCTAACCATTTACCCTAAAATTAACCCCACAGGTACCTACCTGAGCCTAAAACTAACCTCACAGATACCTACCTGAGCCTAAAACTAACCTCACAGATACCTACCTGAGCCTAAAACTAACC